CCAGATATGGACTCTCACGCAACCCTGCCCGGAATACTGCGCCGAATGTTTTCGAAAGACAACCCAGACATCGTCAGGGCATAGCAGGGCCTTGTCGACCTGCAAGATACAGGATGCAAGCCGCTGACGTGGTACATGAAGGTCGAACGCTGGTGCACTCCGTTTGTGCACAGCGAGATCTGCGTATTGGAATACTTTTATAAAAACAACCTACAGTTTTTCGAAGGAGATCGCTACGTCTATTGTAGCAAGCCGGCTTGCTTCACTTGCAAGCTGTATTTCGCGGAGCATCCGACAAGCATGATTGTACCGGAATCGCATGGGAAAGTGTATCCGGATTGGGGACCGCCCTTGGTGGAAGGTTTCAAGAGGAAAGATGCAGACTCGGATAGGCAGCGGGATTTGATGATTGAAATAACAAAGACCGTGAGGAAGGAGGTTGTCAATCATCTGTGGGGGAGGAGCGTCCCGCCAGCTTGGCACCCGGATTCGACAACGGGTGTCTCAACTTTGGTACCGTCACTGCATGGTCTTCAGGAAAAGATCTTCGAATATGAAGATGGAGATTCATGCATCGCGTATGCGTCGGATTCTGGGTTTGCGTCCATTGAGGAGGAGGGGTTGCTACATGAACTTGATCATGTTGCAGAGGGGCGCAGTGCATCGTCGCAAGGAAGTCATGAATCCGAGAACAACGAGTTTCATGACGAGAACAATTCGGACGAAGAAGGTGGCGCATCATTATAGGCCCAAAGAAATCAGGCAGGGATTTTTTTGTCATGTTTGCTGGTTATTACTATTTGGAGTGCAATCTATAAGCAGCCGTTAACTATCTGGGCTCGATGCAAGATGCTGCCTCTCAAGATGCCGTTTCAAAGATGCGCGACGTAGATATGTTCTGCTACAGTCGGTATACGGGCAATGACACTTTTCAAGGGTATTTGGTGCGTGAATCTCTTGAAAATGCCTTTTCATTTCTCTTTGCTCGCCGCATCGATGCTCGCAAGTTCTGACGGGACAGATAACGGGCCTGTAGTGGTTTTTAAAGTGATGACTTTAAGATGATACATATTAGTGGATGAAGAACCAATTGAAGTCAAAGAGAAGAGCAGTAGAGCTGAGTCGTAAGCAGAAGACGCACCGGAGATCGCAGGAGAGCGGAAACGGTGGTGAGGGGCACTCTGGCGCGGGGCAATGATACATGCCTGCCGACCCAATGTATTTCTGACCGTCCCATGGCAAATATACTTCTTGAAATTTCCATCGCTTGTTTTTTTTCAGCTGCAAACTCGCAACAAACTCTTTGATATAGTCGACTAAATTATCGTTCTGAATTAGATCGATGCGCGAACCTTCGTGAAGCCAAACAGGCGTTTCGCAGTAGTACAAGGAAGCGGGCGGCGGCGTAAATTGGGGAGAAGGTGATGCAATGGGAACATCTCAAGAATGTGTATCTGCAACAGTATTCTCTTCCAAGGTTTTTCCCGCGAGACCGGTTTCACCCAGGTCTGGTTCCTGCTCGAAGTTTTCATGCAATTCGCGGATGTCTGAGCTCACGAATGGAACAGCCACAAGAAGCCGAGGATCAATTGTAGCAGGTGCGTCATCGTCACCGTCAACACCGACGCCACTATCCATAGCTGCTTGAGTGACGCCACACGATGCGACAAACTGAGGCAAAGGTCGATGGAAGATTGGTACTCGGGGGTGGACTGACCTGTCGACACTTGCTTTTATAGTGGCTTGGTGCAAGGCTGGGGAGGCCTACCACTAGCCACGGCATGTAGGCAGCCCACAGAACTGGGCGAGATCATCGCCGATCTCGACGCCCAATGCCTTTCTAGCCAGTCGATCTGCGCCAGTCGACACATGCCGGTATACCCAGACGATAGGTAACGAACAGAGGCGTGCGCTCGTCTGTGCCGCAAATGAATGAAACCTGAACGTAGTTCGATCGATGGCCGATGGCCGATGCTCCGCTCTATGCTAGGTGTACAGGCAGGTTACGAGCACAAGTTCTGGTTTGAGATCCATTTACTTCTTGGCGCTACTATTACTGTTTGAAGAGGCTGGAGTGTATGTGGAGCCGCCCTTGCTGTCTGCGTAGTATTTGCTGCCATCTGGGTTCGAGTAATAATACGAGCCGTCGCTGAGTCAAACGCGTAAGTCATCAAGCACATTCGTATCAAGAGCCGTAACAACATACCTATTGGAATAGTGGTACGAATTCGAGTTGGAGGCGCTTTTGACGTAGTCGCGGGAACAATCATGGTTGCCTTGCCTCGAGTGAGCCACATGCCATTTAGATGATAGTGCTACCGCCTGAAAGAAGCGAGTTGCGCTTACCTTGCTATTGGTACCGGAGCTCTTATAGCTATAGTCAGGCATTCTGAGTCAATGTGAGGTCGATGTTTGCCGGTATTTGTTACTGGATAGGATTCACAGTTCGTGATGTCGAAATAGAATTGAGCTATGGTATTTGTTTCGGCGATGAAGACTTCTGCATTAGATATACTCAAACCCAAAGCGGGGTAACGGGCCAAACATTTGCCGGTAGCAATGCACCACCACGCGGGGGGAGACTCTAAGACAAACAATACGATAATGCCAGTCCGTAACTACAGTTTACTCGTTGTACGCCTGGCTCGAGAGAATGACTGGGGGTTCTGTCCGCCAAGCCTTCGACATGCATATGTACCACTCGTGTTAGGCTATGATTGGGCTAGTGCTATCCTCACAGCGTGAGATCTGCAGGACTTGCAGATTTTTCTTTTGACTCAATGCTTCTAGTGACCACTGCACTCATCTTGAAGCTGAAGCCACCACCTCCGAAGATGGTTCAACGATGCCGTCTCCCAAGCAACATGCGATAACAAGCGGCCAGAAATTCGACTAGCGGGCGCATCCGACGTGCATCATGACTTGTTCGCACCTCATCTAGCCCGCACTAGCAATGCACTGTTGCTATAATATAATATATGCCGGACGTTATAGTTAGAACACCTCTGAAGGCTGTAGTCTATTCCATAATAACCATGCCGTAACAGGCCCACAGTTCTTCATCAATCGTATGGACGGGCAGCAAGAGTTTGTTCGCCTTCGTGTCGACTTCTATATGCCTGGTTAGGAAGATGGTAATGATTGCAGATGTGATGGCTGGAAAGTTATACAAATGCAATGAGGAGCGGCTTGGGTAGCATCTAGGATCATACCCCAAAGAGAAGAAAGGAAAGAGGCAGGTTGAGTTCGCGGCTTGACAATTATGAAGAGAGAGCAAAGCGGCTTGAAGATATGTGGCAGGTGGCGCACGATGGTGGCAAGGCGTTAGTGGTAGGCCTCTGACGTATGGTGACGCCATCCTTCACTCAATAGAGGTATAAAGAGTTAGAAATATCGGATCTGATCCCAGGAGTCAAATCCAGTCAAATTATTTCTCTTTCTCGAAGACAGCTATCTCCACCGTCATCTTCACCATGTCTGCATCTACAACACTCCAGCTCTCCCTCCCCATGGAGCAGGGCCGCGTCGGCAAACCCCGTCTTGACCCCTACAGCCGCCTTCTCTCCCGCTTCTATGAAGCCCTCTTCCTCCTCCACAGCCTTGACCCCACGCGTGCCCTGCACGCGCCGCACCCCATCTCCCGCTGTCCGGAGCGCGAACTGCGCAGGGAGTTTATGCGCGACCTTGCTTTTATATGTGACGGGCAAAAGGGACCGCTGATGTTTACCGCAATTGGGGTTGCAGAGGTAGAAGAGGGAGGTGAGGTGGTGTTTTTCGTGGCATCGAAAAAGTCGAGAAAGTGCAAAAAGATGCTGGAGAGATCACTGACGATGCTGCTGCAGTATGCGACCGCGGCTAAGGAGAAGGAGCCGGATTTTCGCCAGAGGTTTCTGGAACATTGCGTGGGCCATGCGAGGATGCGCATCAACACGTACATATCCGATTTGAGAGTGGCTATTCCGGCCTGCATTCGAGAGTCGAAAAGCTCGGGCCGGCCAGTTGGTAAGTGGCGATGGCATAAGTAGGATGAGAAAGTGAGGGGATGATGGGACTGACGAATGTCTGCAGATGAAGAGTTCATCAACTGGCTACGGCTACTCCTACTGAGAGATGAAGACACAACCGCTAGTCATCTCAAAGTGTGCCTTGAAATCTGTCGAGCCTCCACGTCAGAAATGATGATGGCAAGAATGCAGCAGGAGGAGCAGCTGCAGCACCGCAGCTATGCCTCTCAGGGTCTGCCTCACGACCAGAGCGGCTGCTTCGCCAGAGCAAGACACGCCATCGGCCGTCTCTCTGCCCGCATCAGAAAGCCCCTCTCGTTGCTGCTTAACACTTCGCTGATGCAGGATATTCTCGCTCGCGCGCGCGTCGAGGCCATCACTTCTCTTCCCTGCGTTCTCAAGCCTGAGGCCGACCACCAGACCACGCTACCGCGGATCCTGCGTCGCATGTTCCGCCCCAGCGACGACGAGGATCTCCTTCGTACGCAAAAGATCTTAGTGCAAATGGAGCAGGACTCTGCCATTCGACCGTTGACGCGCTACATGGACGCCAACCGCACATGCAGCCCGTCGGTGCACAGCGAAATTGAGGTCTTGGAGTACTTTTACAAACACAAGCTCAAGTTTCTCGACGACGATCGGTACGTGTACTCTAGTAAGCCTGCGTGTTTTGCCTGCAAGCTGTACTTCACCCACCATCCCGCCAAGATGGTCGTTCCGGAATCTCACGAAAAGGTCTACCTCAACTGGGGTCCGCCCGTGACTGCAAATTTCCGGAAGGGCGACCCCGCGTCGAATCGACAACGGGATTTGATGATTAAGATTACGCAGGCGGTAAGGGATGAGGCTCTCGCGCAGATATGGGGGAGAAGTCAGCCGCCGGGATGGCACGCAGATACCACAACGGGCGTGGCGACGCTGCCGCCTTTAGAGGATGGTTTCTACAAGGGTTGTTTTGCGCATAGGGAGCAGCAGTCCTCTGCTTTTGGGGCATACGATTCGGGGTTTGAGTCGGCAGCAGAGCGCGAGTTGTTACATGCTATGGAGCAGAGGGAAGAGAAGAAAGTAGAACTGGGGCTTCAGGGACAGGATACCGGGGGTCTAATTGGTATGCTGAACGAGGTGCAGGATGATGTGCTGCATGAGGAGAGACTTTCACAGACTTGTAGCGGCAACCAGGATACAGATGACGAAGAAGTCGGCGCACTATTGTAGTCAAAATGGCCTGGCATCACGGAAATAAAAGATAAAAGATTGACTTGTAAGTAGATCGGTGTCATCTCATGACGTTCACTCCTCCATTGTGAATGAAGCCAGGAAGTACCGCTAAAATGCGTCTTCTCACCGACTCGACACGTACAAATTCTCTCCCATAGTCCGAAAAGGAGCAACAGGGCCGTTGAAGTGTGTAGTGTGTAAGCTGCATGAATATCCTGGAAGTGCCGCTTGATCTCCTTTTGCTCCGCCGTGCGGTCTTGGCTGCGACAGTCACTGGCAGGACAGAGCACGGGTTTGAAGTGCTTCTTGGCATGACGGCTATTACATGACCTCACATTAGTAAGATGAGCTTCTCGGATGTAGTTGAAGTGTAAATAGGTGGACATACCGGAGGTCTCTACCAGATTCATATACAGCCTCACCCACGCATCCGCCCTCGGTACACCGATACAGCTCGTCACTCCCTCTGTATCGGCCGCTCTCCCACGGCATCTCAACCTCCGGAGACTTCCACTCGCTCCTTATCTCTGCCCGTAAATCTCTCCACGTACTTCTCCATCCTGCTGTACCTGATAAGCTCCACGTGCTCCCCTGCCACCAAGTCGGCACCGCCTCGCAGTCCTTCCCCACAGCAGCGGGTGCCCATGTTTGCCGAGTCGATGATGTCGGAAAGTCATCTCAATAACGCGCGTCGTCAACATGAATCGGCACAAACGTAGGCCGCGCGAGACATGTTTTACCCTGGTCTTGCCCGATGGATGGTAGCGGGTGGTGTGCGTGGGCACGGTCTGGGCTACCACAACGTTATGCTATGCTCCATAGTTAGTGGACTCCTTAAGTCGCACTGGCCCCGGCTCGGTTATGGTTTCCACAAAACAATAGTCCGCCGCTCACTACGAATATGTTCATACACGAAGCCCGACGTATTTTAGGTGATATTAGTTGGCGTTTGGATTAACGTCTCTCCCGAGGTGTCGGCGTTGTCTGTGACCAGCTTTGGCGGCGCTTGTCGAGCGTCGCACTGGGCTACTGCCGGGCAAAAGAATGCGTCTTGTTACCAGAGCGGCGCCTCTCATGAGCTCCTCCTGTGCATCATGACGGAAGCCTTCTGGAAACTGTCGGCGGCCCCTCGCGCCGGTCACGGGCGTGGACGATTGGTCAATCGCCAGTGCCCACGGCTGCGCAAGAGCGCTGAACGGGTCAGTCAGTGCTGCTGTCTACTGGGCGTGCGTTTGGGTGGCTGAAAATTCCCTTTACAAAGGTGGGTATCAGTGTAGATGTAAGAGAAAGGTTGGAAAAAGACTGCTCACGCAATT